ACTTGTACTGTTTGTCTGAGTGAAAGGCGAGCTGCGGGTTTTCCCTTTTCTTTATTTACACTTTCATATATGACCGCTTCACAAAAGTGCACGGGCTCACTGGCTTACAACCTTGGCGAATTCATATGCAGGCCTGGTCGCAAATCAATCACCCAGTAAGAGTTAAAATTCATGTAAACTATATTTTCTATATCTTCCTATATGTATTTGTAATCGATTCTCAACAATAAACTTATTGAATATTGCTAAAAAACTGATTTTTCTTCGTTTATTTTAAAAACCTCAGTATACCGGAACCCCCTCTAAACCGGAATTTTTCATCGGTCCCAGCCGTGTCCGGTATAGAGGGGTTTTACTGTATACTATTTTAAGCAGTTTTATGCTAATTCTTTTGTTCCTGTGAAGGTATCCTTTAGCAGCATGATAGTGATCAGAAAAAGAATGTATACAAATGTAGCCAAGGCTGCTATGATGTTGAAAATGTATATCGTGAAACCGAGCTTTCGCTGTACTACAGCATCATCAGGGAATGAGGATATTTATTTAGTCTTCGTTTTGGATATTTGGGGGGGTTTTTTCCAAAACGAAGACCCTGGCAAAAAAGCCCCAAAATGGACTATTCTTGTTGTAGTTGACATTTATTACACATACTTTGTTTGTTCTGAAAGTTAGAAATGGTTTAAACGTGATTTAAAGGTGATTTTATGGGGGGTCTTCGTTTTGGATATTTGGGGGGGGTTTGTCCAAAACGAAGACCCTGGCTATTCTTGTTGTAGTTGATGTTTATTGCACATGCTTTGTTTGTTCTGAAAGTTAGAAATGATTTAAAGGCGATTTTATGGGGGGTCTTCGTTTTGGACATTTGGGGGGATTTTGTCCAAAACGAAGACCCCATTAAAAATCCTTCAAACGTTCGTGTTTTGTTGTTAGTTATGTTCTGCGTGACATAACGCACTTTAGGAACGATTGTGAATTGATTTTCTTGGGGTCTTCGTTTTTGGGTCTTAGGTCTTAGGTCTTCGTTTTTATGCCCACCCATTCTTTTTCTGATCACTATCATGCTGCTAAAGGATACCTTCACAGGAACAAAAGAATTAGCATAAAACTGCTTAAAAATAGTATAACGACCTTTTTACGTATGTAGTAACATTATTAATAGGACATCATTCTAGTTTAGAAATTTTAGTACAGTTGCAATCTGGTATTTTACTTGGTATTTTCAACAATAACACTGTGAAGCACTGATTGCTGCATTATGTAAAATTGAATGAAGCTCTAGTTGAGCAAGAGAAAACAAAAAAATTAGCATAAAACTGCTTAAAAATAGTATAACGACCTTTTTACGCATGTAGTGTTTTATTAAGGCTTTAAATTAAGTAAAGCAAGTTTTCCCTGCGAGAGCGGCCGACATCCTATTGGTTGCTTTCGATTGTACCCTCCCCAGGCTCGTCTCGCAATTGTTGAGCAATGTCCCCCGTAGATTTAAAGTGTCTATTGCCTTTTGTTAGAAATAAGGCAATCCACTTTGAGAATACTCTCTTCTTTTGGGTCCCCTGTGCATCCGGACCAAATTAGTTATAGTCAGCATTACTTTAGTCCGAATATTAGAATTCAACGGCCGATAAAAATAAC